TTCTTCTTAATCTGCTAAGTTCGAAACGCTAAAATGCTAAAATCCAAACTGCACTGATTTTTCCCTGACACGCATTTCAGTTTTTATAAAATGAACAAAAAAATTAAGCATGAATCTCTCTTATATAGATATAATTTACGAGCAACAATCAATCATGAAGTTGACCATTTTACCACCACTATTATCGACTCTTCCAATCGTTTATTTATATTCAACGATCTTCAAGGCGTTACCGAAGTTAACCATTCACCTTCTCATGCACAAACAGCTGTTTACGTATTAAAAAATTAATTAGTTTTTTTTTTTCTTTTTCTGTGACATATCACATCTAAAAGTGTTTATTAAAATACCATTGAGCAAACTAAATCTAGTCTATGTAATAAAATAAACAAAAAGGAGATGGTTTGAGCTATAGAAATTCTGATTATACCAATGGATAGAGCTCTTCAAGTTATACTTGGAACAAGAATAGGGACTTTGGAACAGGTCTCTAGACGAATATGGACAACTTTTACTACATGAGTTCTACTATTCATATAGGAAATTCCCAGTATTTTGGGATTATTTAGAAGATGGTTTGAACTATAGAAATTCTGATTATATTAATGGATAGAGCTCTTCAAGTTATGCTTGGAACAAGAATAGGGACTTTGAAACAGAATCCCAGACGAATATGGGCAACTTTTACTCGAATCTGGTGCTAACTTCACCTACATATGTGAAAGGCTTATTATCACCTTCACAAGTAAAGAAGGCTGGCAATAAAACAAAAATTAAAGTAACTGGGCAACAGCTTCCATTCGTTCCTGCTTACTCTCTCACAACTCATAAAAGCCAGGGACAAACAATCCCAAAAATTGTGATTGATTTAGTACTGGCACCAGGAACGAGGCCAAATGTTGCTCTCACTTACGTCCCGTTATCAAGAGTAAAAAGACTGAGAGATTTAGTAATATTACGTCCATTTCTAAAGTCTGTATTACAGATAAAACCAAATCAAGAACAAACAAAAGAATTACAGAGACTCGATGAACTAAACAAATTGACTAAACAACGCTATGACGCTTTCAAACTTTTGAGAGTCATATAACTTGTGAACTCATGCTGATTTGATAGACTTTGGTAGCTCCAACATGCTGTTATTGCTAACTGTGACACTATTATGAACAGTTTTCTTTTCTATTAGTCCACATAGTGATTAATTACACTCCTTTTTTTGTTCTTATTTTATTGGTCATCTTTATTGTTGTCTGTCCATCTCACGTTGTAGGCCTTGTGTCGTCAAATGTATCAACCTCGTGTTTTTAAAAAAGAAAAACAAGAGATCCTCATCTTCCTTTTATCTTTTGTGTGTAATTTATTATTTAAGCTGGTTCAATTCTTCTCGTTCTTTTTGTCTTCAATAAAAACTTATACACGTGAGACTCGTTGATCTCATACATTCACTATTCACTATTCTATATACTTTTATGCATTTTTCTCCAGATAAGTCACATTTATCGCAGTTTCGGCGTTCTTCACTCCCCTCCTAGAAGACGGGAGCAACTTTTAAATAATTTCTTCCGAGAGTGCGTTAACAGACTTCACTTCTATTCCATACTTGCCTTCCAAGCATGTACTCGCTCGCATAAACTTTTCTGAAGGCGAAAAGCTATAGCAACTACTTCTGTAAACTAAGGTGGAAAATATGGACGTTCTCATCGCAAAAAATATGCATCAGTTCTGTAATAACAAAATCGAGTTACAACAGAATGAATAATATTTGCGACACGACATTCATTCGACTTACAGTCAATGGACTTAGTGAATCGATACGATTCACGTTATTTATATATTATTGCCTGGAGCATTTTCGTATAATATTCTTTATTTGACAACACAACATATCCACCGTCTTTCTCTATACACCCATAATGATTCGGCATGCATCTCTTTTAACGACACAGAAATCACATTAAAATGGAAAAAATCTATTCACAAAAAAGCTTTGACCTTAAAGTATTTTGATGACCTTGCACATAGTTCACATATATAGTAGAAAATAGAAAGTTCTTTCTGTTCGATCTATTTTATTTTGTTGTGTTCCACTTACTAGTATTTTGTTGTGTTCCACTTACTAGTATTTTCTTTTATCTCTTATTTTTCTGTCTTCAGAATCAACTACCGAGTGGCACATTTGACTGATGATGTCTTCTGAATAAAGACGAAACGTCTCTTACAGAAAATAGCGATATTTTGAATTATGATAAAGGTGGTTTATATCTTATTATCTACATTAAAATGTTTTCTCTTTCAAATACACCGCTTATAAATATATCTCCCCTTTCAAGCCAGCCTAGAAGACTTTTTTCAATACTTTGTATATATGAAATTGTAGCGCGTGAGATTCCACGTTGAATAAATCACCCACTTTTCACGGCCTTCCAGGCAGTATTTCTAATGCCAAGGCGCCCTAGGACCCCTTTTTCGGTATTATATATATATGAAATTGTAGCGCAAGAAATTCTCTATCGAATGGCATGTGTATCGTCGTGGATAATGGACAAGTGTGGAGCACAGGATGGTCACCGTTGAATAAATCACCCATTTTTCACGGCTTTCCGGACAGTATTTCTAAGGTCAAGGTCCCCTACGACCCTTTTGTCACTACTTTGTATATACGAAATTGTAGCGCAAGAAATTCTCTATGGAATGGTATATGTATCGTCGTGGCTAGTGGACAAGTGTGGAGCACAGAATCCTCCCCGTTGAATAAATCACCCACTTGCTACGTCTTTGCATAAAGTATTTCTAATCTCAAGGTGCCCTAGGACACTTTTTTCACTACTATATATATACGAAATTGTAGCGCAGGAAATTCTCCCTCGAATGGTATATGTATCGTCGCGGCTAGTGGACAAGTGTGGAGCACAGAATCCTCCCCGTTGAATAAATCACCCACTTTTCACTCACTTTCAGACAGTATTTCTAATGTCAAGGTACCCTAGGACCCTTTTTTCAGTATTTCATTTATATGAAATTGTAGCGCAAGAAATTCTCTATGGAATGGTATGTGTATCGTCGTGGCTAATGGACAAGTGTGGAGCACAGGATGGTCACCGTTGAATAAATCACCCACTTTTCACGGCTTTACAGACAGTATTTCTAAGGTCAAGGTGCCCTAGGACACTTTTATCAGTACTTTTTAACTCCGAAATTGTAGCGCAAGAAATTCTCTATGGAATGGTATGTGTATCGTCGTGGCTAATGGACAAGTGTGGAGCACAGAATCCTCCCTGTTGAATAAATCACGCACTTTGCACGGTTTTCCAGACAGTATTTCTAAGCTCAAGGTTCCCAAGGACCCTTTTATCATTACTTTGTATATACGAAATTGTAGCGCAAGAAATTCTCTATCGAATGGTATGTGTATCGTCGTGGCTAATGGACAAGTGTGGAGCACAGAATCCTCCCCGTTGAATAAATCACCCACTTGCTACGTCTTTGCATAAAGTATTTCTAATGTCCAGGCGCCCTAGGACACCTTTTCCACTACTTTATATATATGAAATTGTAGCGCAGGAAATTCTCTATCGAATCGTATATGTATCGTTGCGGCTAGTGGACAAGTGTGGAGCACAGGATGATCACCGTTGAATAAATCACGCACTTTGCTCGGATTTTCAGACAGTATTTCTAATCTCTAGGTGCCCTGTTTCGTCGTGTGTGTATCGTCGTGGCTAACGGACAAGGGTGGCGCACAGAATCCTCCCCGTTGAATAAATCACCCACTTTTCACGCACTTTCAGACAGTATTTCTAATGCCAAGGTACCCTAGGACCCTTTTTTCAGTATTTCATTTATATGAAATTGTAGCGCAAGAAATTCTCTATGGAATGGTATGTGTATCGTCGTGGCTAATGGACCAGTGTGGAGCACAGAATCCTCGCCGTTGAATCAATCATGCACTTTGCACGGCTTTCCAGACAGTATTTCTCATGCCGGGGTGCTCTAGGACACTTTTATCAGTACTTTATATATACAAAATTGTAGCGGAAGAAATTCTCTATCGAATGGTATATCTATCGTTGTGGCTAGTGGATAAGTGTGGAGCACAGAATCCTCCCCGTTAAATAAATCACCCACTTGCTACGTCTTTGCATAAAGTATTTCTAATCTCAAGGTTCCCTAGGACACTTTTGTCACTACTTTGTATATATGAATTTGTAGCGCGGGAAATTCTCTATCGAATGGTATATGTGTCGTCGTGGCTGGTAGACAAGTGTGGAGCACGGAAGCCTCACCGTTGAAGAAAGAAGAGTAGAACTTTGGTTTCAGTAAATTCGGCCTGGTTTTTTCTGGGAGCATTGCTAAGGTCTGCCAAGTGGCTAGAAATGTTCTCCGGTTCATTCTGCATCTAACCATGTATGTGTCGATGGAATTGAAGCAGGGGCGATTGCATCAAGTAATCGCCCCCGTCCGTTTAAAAATATGAAATGCTAATATAAAATCGAAATTACGAGATCGTTTCAAAACCAACGAAATTGACATTCATTTTAATGACGTTTTGTTTCCGATCAAATCTGAAGTGAGCAATGTGATGATGTATTTATGTTAAATTAGTGTTTTAAACTCAGGATTTGCATCTTCCTTTTTTGGCAATGTTCCTTCTTTCAAGATTTTGCGATTTCTCCTTAATTCCTCTTTTTTAGAAAAACCTTAGTACAAAGCCAGGTTATGACGAGATACAGCGACATTACCGCGAACAAATGTTTATTGGAAAAGACCAATAAATGAGGCCGGTTTTGTATTTTGTACATCATGTTTTCAAACTTAACTGAAGTTACGTGTTGACTAGTCATTATCTGACATAGTCACAGATATCTAGTTTCGCATCATGAAAATATGTTTTGTGTCAAACTCCTTTTCGAACTCACTCTCACAATGCCCTCCCCCTCCTCCAGCGACATGATATACAAAATACAAAACCAGGCTTATTTATTCTTCTTTTCTTATAAACGAGTCTTCGCGTTAATGTCGTTCGCGGCAATGTCGTTTTTTGTATTCGCGGTAATGTCGTGTCACGTATGATGATTTAAGCATTAAACTAACCCTCTTTACTATCGATAGATACAAAATTACAGGAATTTTTGAATATACCGATCGTCAAGAATGTCAGCAGCAGTTAGTTGTTTTTAATATAAATTGATAATGACACTCGAAAAGTAAATCCAAAAAACGTGTTTTCTGTTTAGAAATGATAAGAACAGGTAAAATTATAAACTGGTCTTATCACAAGAAGTTTTTTTCTTTATTTTGTTTTAAAAACTAGAAACTGTGTAAATCAAATAAACGCAGAGTTTTTCAACTTTTGGCAACATTTATTCTTTAGAATGGATAATATTTTTCTATTAGATGTACACAATAATCAAGAAGAAAATTTGGAAGATTTTTGTATTGTTTGGTTAGATGAAAATTTCTATATGATCCGATGATTTCTTAGATACTAAAACTCGTTTACGTCGAATTATAAATTATTTAAAACTATTTACAGATCAAGATGAATGTGTTGATTATATATAGAACCGATTCAAAATATTTTGATCTTATATCGAGGTCAAACAATGAATAATGACGAATTTGAAAAACTAAAAAACAATGTTGGTGGTTTTGTTTCAGTGAATAGTTTTATGTCGACAACAACAAATCGACATGTTGCAGTAGCATTTGTTGGTAATAAGAGTTCTCTCATGAAATATGTATTATTTGAAATAAATATTAATATACATCTTGATACAAAACCATTTGCCAGTATTGTACATTTAAGCACATTTCAAACTGAAGATGAAATATTATTTTCAATGGGAACTGTTTTTCGAATTAAAAATGTTGAACAACTGTCACATAGTTTATGGAAAGCAGAATTAACACTAAGCGAAGTGAAATAAAGAATTAATAGATTTGAAAAAACATTTAAAAATCGAAATTGGACGAACAACAACACTTTTAACATTTGGTTCTCCTTTTTTTTTCATGACGATCAGACGTTTTGCTGCTTGAGTTGGGTAATGTGATTACAGTTACAACGTAAACAACTGGTATTATGCAATCTGGTCATCATCGTAGTCCACCGTCACCATTAGAAACATCGATTAAAAAATTAAAACAATTAACTACAACTGCAATGTCAACTAATGCTGAAAGCTTAGCGTTAGCTCAAATGGTTAAAGAAATATTTTCGTCTCCATCGTTTGTTCAGCAAATGTGTAATTCATTGCTAACCTCGGATTTGTTTATAAACTCTATTGCTACGGTAGTTGAAGAAGCTGTAAATAAGTATCGATACCAAGTTGAAGAATTGGAATCTGAATTAAAGAGAGCGAATGATAATATTTTACTGTTACAAGGTCAAGCGAATG